CTCCTTCTTTTTCTTGACCAGAGCCTCAATATCTGTAGTCATCCACTGTTCCCTACACTTGCCAGCCTTGCCCTTCACACTAACAGGAACATGCTGTCTCTGAACTCTTGCTATCTCATTTTTGAAAGCCTCCTACTTGTCAGACATTCCTTCACCTGTGAGCAGCCTCATCCAATGAACTCTGAAAGTTCCTGTCTAATAACATCAAAATTGGCCTTGCCCCAATTTAGAACTTTAACTTATGGACCAGGCCTATCCTTTTCCGTAACTATTTTAAAACTAACAGAATTATAGTCACTGGTCCCAAAGTTCTCCCCCACTCACACATCCGTCACTTGCCCTGTTAAATTTCCCAAGAGGTGGTTGAGTTTTGCCCCTTGTCTAATTGGGCCATCTACATATTAATTGAGAAAGTTTTCTTAAACACACTTAACAAATTCCTCCCCATCCAAGCCCTGAAGACTATGGAATCCATGTTTGTAAAGTTAAAGTCCCCCACTAATAAAACACTACTATTCTTACAGCTATCTGTAATCTCCCTACATATTTGCTCCTCAGTTTCCCACTAATTATCTGGGGGGCATCTGTAGTTTAATGCTATCAAAGTGATGACTCCCTTCTTAATTCTCAGTTCCACTCGTATGGATTCACTGGATGATCCCCCAGTCCTCCCTAAGCATTGCCGTGATGTTTTCCTTAATCAAAAATGCCATTCCCCCTCCTATCTCGCTCCCTCGTTTTATACTTCTTCTAGTATCTGTACCCTGGAACATTGAGTTGCCAGTCCTGTCCTTCCCTCAGCTATATTTCCGTAGTAGCTATGATATCCCAATCCCGTGTTCCCACCCATGGCCTAATTCATCTGCATTGAAATTAATGCAATTTAATTCACTAGTCTTCTCTTGTTCTCTGTCATGCTGTAGACTGCCTTGTCTAATTAACTTGCTCTCTTTAACTTATGTACCGGCCTCAATTTTCTCTCTTGTCTCACTACTGCTTAGAGTCCTACCCCCCGCCAGACTGGTTTAAACTCTCCTGCGTAGCTCTAGCAAATCTCCCCGCCAGGATATTGGTGCCCCTCCAGTTCAAGTGCAACCTGTCCCTCTTCTACAGGTCAATATTGCTCCAGAAGAGATCTCAATGATGCACCAATTAACTCCCTTGTCTTATTTACAAAATTTATGGAATCATAGAAGGATCACAATACAAATGAAAACAAATTCCTTCTCAATACTCTCTTTTCTAAAGAGAATAGCACCAAATTCTCTAATCAATGCTGGTAACTGAAATCTTTCATTCTTGAAATATTTTTTCCAAATCCTTTCTGCAACCGCTCTAAAGCCTTCACATCCATCTTGAAGTGTAGTACCCAGAATTTACCACTGTACCTCGATTGAGATTGAACAGGGTTTTATGATGCTTCAGCAGAAGTCCTTGATTATGTACTCTATGCCTCTAATTATTAAGTTCAGGGTCTTTTAAGCTTTTTAAACCACATTCCCAACCTACTGTATCACCTTCAACAATTCTGCACATATAACACCGGGCCTCTGTTCTTTTTTTCTTCATTCATAGCACGTGGGTATGACTAGCTAGACCAGCAAATATTACCCAACCTTAAATGCCCTGGAGATGATGATGGTGAGCTGCCTTTTTAAACCATTGCAGTGTTTGTGGTGTATGGACACCCACAGTGCCTCAAAGCAGGGAGTTCTAGGATTTTGACACAGCAACAATAAAAGAATGGCAATGTAGTTCCAAGACAGAATGGTATATGGCTTGGAGAGGAACTTCCAGGTGGCGGTCTTGCCAACCCATCTGCTGTCCTTGTCTGATATAACAAGGTGTAGAGCTGGATGAACACAGCAGGCCAAGCAGCATCAGAGGAGCAGGAAAGCTGATGTTTCGGGCCCAGACCCTTGTCTTTCTGGTTTGGAGAGCTCATGGGCTTAGAAGGTGCAGTCGGGGGTTTTAGTGAGTTATCACAGTGCGTCTGATAGATGGTACAAACTGCTGTAACTGAAATTTGGTAGTGAAGGAGTGATTGCTGAAGGTGGTGGATCAGGTGCCAAACAAGTGGGCTGCTTTGTCCTGGATGTTGTTGTGTTTCTTGTGCAGCTGAACTTATCCAGGAAAGTAGGGTGTATCCCCTCAAATTCACGACCTGTTCCTTGTATCTTAGATTGGGAGATGTGATGGTCCATGGGGTTACAGTTTGTGATTAAATACAGCTCTTCTGCTGCTGGTGGCCCACAGCATCTCATAGATGCCTAGAATTAAGTCATAGAGTCATATGGCACGGAAACAGACCCTTTGGTCCAACTCATCCATGCTGACCACGTTTCCCAAACTAAACTAGTCCTACCTGCCTGTGTTTGGCCCATATGCCTTTAAACCTTTCCTATTTTTGTACCTGTCCAAATGTCTATTAAATGTTGTAACTGTACCTGCACCTACCACTTCCTCTGGCATTTCATTCTACATACCAACCACTCTCGGTGTGAAACAGTGCCTTTTAAATCTTTCTCCTCTCACCTTAAAAATATACCCCCTAGATTTGAACTCCACCACCCAAGGGAAAAGACCTTTGCTATTCACCTTATCAACGACCCTTATGATTTGATAAACTTCTATAAGGTCAACCCTCAACCTCCTAAGCTCCAGTGAAAAATGTCCCAGCCTATCCAGTCTCCCCTTATAACTCAAACCCTCAGTCCTGGTAACACCCTCTCCAATTTAATAATAAGCTTCTTACAGCAGGTTGCTAGATTTTAGTCTGTCCCATTTAGTACAGTGAGAGTGCCTCACAACATGATGAAAGGTATCCTCAATGTGAAGACTTTGTCCACATAAGGATTCACATGACACCAGGTTATAGTCCAACAGGTTTGTTTGAAATCAGAAGTTTTCAGAGCGCTGGTCCTTCGTCAGCACTTCACCTGTTCAGAGCAATTCCTCTTCTGAACTCCAGCTCCCGAACAGCACTGGAAAATCAACTCTTCTGGGTTTTCTGAGACCTCACTTTACAGAGCAAATGATAGCACTTCAGCAGTAATGGAATTAGTGACTTTTTGCTGACCTTTCAACTCTGGGCTAACCTGTCATCTGGACTTCTTTTTGTATGTCTTTGGGTCCTATGAACAAGTATTTGTTCCACACATTTGGTAACGTGGGGAACTTTTCATGCAAAAACCACAGTTGTATCGGATTTTTAAGCCATCTTTCATGTCTGAGAGGTCTGAGTTCTGTGGAAAACTGTGCTTGCGCTGGAGCCCTAGACACAAGGATTGTTATCATCCATGATTCCAAAAAATACACAATGGGAACCCGACATACAGATTTCCTCATTCTAAATATGAATTTGGACAGAGAGATTTTTCTACTTTACTGTGTTTGTATGTGCGTGTCTTGGGGTTATTTAGAGGTGTAAATGTTTATATTTTCATAGTACAGATTTTATATTAACCAGTTTTGCATTTTGTTAAATAAATTTTGCTTTATAATAAATCAATAATTTTGTATTCATTAAAGACATGTGGTTGATAGCTCTTTTTATCCTAACATAGCATAATCATACAATTCAAACGAGTAATGAAGTGGTCTCATTTTCTGAAGAAGGGTCTCGACCCGAAATGTCTGCTTTCCTGCTCCTCTGATGCTGCTTGGCCTGCTGTGTTCATCTAACTCTGCACCTTGTTATCTCAGATTCTCCAGCATCGGCAGTTCCTACTATCTCTGTCTGATATGAAGTTTTCCAATCCAGGTGGAAAGAACATCAAGACAATTCAGGGAGAGACAGAGAGTGTAGCAGTGAGGAGAGATTCACTGCCTTCCAACCCTGCTGAGACCCCAGCAACAACTGCCAAAAGCTAACTAAAATCCTGGATCTGACAGAACATGATTATACCCACTCAGGCTGCTACTATTGTTCCAACTTTTAAAAAATCCCCAAGGCATCACAGGTCGTTTATCTTCTAATAGATCATTCGTCACCAGGACAAAACACACCTATTAAAGCCTCAGCATCATCATACACTGCAGCAGGCCTGTGACAGAAATGTTAGCGTGGGAACACAGTGGTGTGTTGGGGTCACTGGATACTTGGGGTCATTTTTCTGGACAATGTGTGAGTGTTCTGCAGTGCAATCAGCCAGCTTATGTTTTGTTTCCCCTACTGTTGAGGAGAACACATTGTGAACAGCAAATACAGTAGACTGGATTGAATGAACTATAGGTAGATCACTCCTTCACCTGGAGGGTGTGTCTGCGGCCTTAGATGGTGAAGAGGGAGGAAGTGAATTAGCAGGTTTACACCTTCTGTGATTCTATGACAATGTGCATGAGGGTGTCAGACATGTTGGGAGTGGTCCCTGTGGAATTTCTGCAGCAATATCTGTTTTTGTCCCTTTTATTTCACGAGTTTTAACTTTGCTGACTTACCCTTTATTCAACAACAGTTGGAAACACAAGGCTTGGCTAGCTCATTCCTACTATAGAATGTTATCATAGAATCCCTACAGTGTGGAAACAGGCCCTTCGGCCCAACAAGTCTACACCGACCCTCAGAGCATCCCACCCAAAACCATCCCCCTACAACAGACTCCTAAACACTACGGGCAATTTAGCATGGCCACTCCACCTAGCTTGCATATCTTTGGACTGTGGGAGGAAACCACGCAGACATGGGGAGAATGTGCAAACTCCACACAGACAGTCGTCGAGGGTGGAATCGAACTCATGCTCCGGTGAGGCAGCAGTGTTAACCACTGAGCCACCTTGTCTGTCCTCCCAATTTAATTTCGAGTTACCGACTCCATATTTAGAATTATCAATAACAAGTATCTAATGTTATACGCACAATAATTTGCGGTTTACCTTCGCCTACCACCAAACAAAACGTCTCTTTAAACCCAAGCATTTGAAAACTCAACACGTCAATGCGCCGGGGACGAAGCGTGACGTGAGCGCGCCCCGGCAAGGGCGAGACGTGACGTGAAGGCGTCGGGGAAAGAGGGGCGGCGCTGCGCTGGATGCGACGGTGCAGACATGTTGGAGGTCCGTCAACGTCATGATGTTGTGGTTAAACAGAGCCAGGAAAGGAGCGAAGCGGTTGGAGATGCTGCTGACCGAGTCGACGCTCGAACTGGGGACAGGGAGATGTCGGCCGAGACGCTGACTGTTTTCTTGAAGTTGTGCGCGGCGGTTTTTTACGGAGTTAGCTCCTTTTTTATCGTGGTGGTGAACAAGAGCGTCCTAACCAGCTACAGGTGAAGGGAGTGGCGATCGCTCGGGCGGAGGAACCAAAAGGTTTCGAGGACGGTGAAGAGCTCCCCCCACCCCCCAACGCCAAGACCGGGGGCGTGCGTTGCCTTTCTTGAGCTGCTCTAGCTGCATTGCCAACAGAATCGCATCTTCTGTGATCGTCACGCTGATGCACTAAAGTCGATTACAAACTGCAGCGTTATTTAAGCATGGAATTGCGTATTAATTTGCTTTAAGAAAATTTGTATTTTAGACGCAGTTTTTTTTAAGATTAATTTTCAGATCCTCGAATGATGCAAGGCAGATCATTTTGCAAGGCGTTTGTAATAATTGTATTTGATACCTGTATCATTTTCGAACTGAATATTTTTATTTTCACGTAAACGACGATCTACAGATCTTACTTTTATGGAAATGTCGTTATTCAGCCTAATTTTCCAGGTTTTATTTTGAATTTTCCAAAACTGGACTTCAATCAAAAGCGTACAACAAAGTTGTTTTCTAACGTTTTGTTTAAATCGCTTCCTACATTCGAGCACTGTTCAATTTTTTTTTTCGGTCAGAAACCGTTATTGGTCTGTGGCAAACCGGTCAATGTTCTTTGCTTCAGCTGCGGGTTGCGTATTTTGGGAAAGGGGAAAAAGTAGACTTTTTCCTCTGTCTCAGCACTTCAACAGATTCTTGTCCGGACTTGCACGTGCCCTAAGCCTTTTAAACAGTCTAATCATTCCTTAATATCTTTGTAATCTACAGATTTCCGTCAATATTATTTGTGGGCATTGGTCAGGTACAGTTAATTTTATGTTTAAATTCTGCGTGCCGGAAAGAAATTTTCATCGAAGAAATGTGTAAAAAGCAACATGTGGTCCATTTTAAAATCCGTTTCTTTTGCATTCAGATGTTAGCAACGGTCACTCTGCTGTGGGTGGGTAAGGCATGCAAGGTGGTGAAGTTTCCTGGCCTGGATTACAGTATGCCGCGGAAGGCAAGTCTGTTGTGTTTGTTTTTCTTTAACGCATAAAGCTAATTGTATTAACAGTAATTTTAATTATGTATACTATAAATTTACATTCGTTAAACAGCAACTGACTTCACTGACATTTTTAATAATTAGTTTTGTGTGTAAACATCAATTTACAGACTATTATGGATACTGCTAAAAAAAGTTTGAGTCAAACAATAAAAAGTCTCCTCTTCCTTTTATCTCTGTTCTCTACCTCTCTAACCCCATGCATGCATGACGTTATGGAATTAATTACAGTTTAATTAATTTGTGTATTATAGTATTTTATGCATGATTTGAATTTTATGGCAGTGCTACTCATGAATGTTTGTAGTTATTTCCTGATTTTTTTTTCAATTGACAGATTTTCTTGCAAAGCTCTAATCCATACTGCAGATGCTGAATCAAATATTAACCATTTCACCTTTTGTTTGTTTATAATATCAACTAGCAAGATGTTAGCAATTACACAACAACGGGTTACTTTCATCCACTCTAGTTGAAAGCTGTTTTCTTCTGTTACATCTTCATCCCTTCAGTTGACTTTTTTTTGTGGCAGACTTTTAATACGTCAAATGTGTATAGTGCCACTGGATTTATTCAGCTTTTTATTGTAAATTGTTTCTCACATTGCCACTTTGAAAACATCTAATTATTTTTAATAAATGTGTTTAGACATATTCTGACCCCACTCCAGGGAAGTGGGTCTTGAATTTGATCTTGTGGCGCAGGATCCATTTTGACATAAAGGTTCCTCTTGATATGATTCCAGTTTTCTTTCTCAGTCACCACTAGGAATTGACTTGCCAATGAATTCTCCAGCAATATAAGTTGTTTTGATCACTTAAAATTTGGCATTCTTACATTTATCCCGATGATGAGTGCAAGATAAAAAGTTTTAGAAATGGGTCTGTCATCAGAAATATTCAAGTCTGATTTCAGTGACTGTATAAGAATCTCACTTATCTGCCAAAGGGAAGATCACAGCATACATCTTCCGAACTTGTCTCTTCATTGTGGTTGATCAGCTCCTTCCAGAGTTATTGAGAGGCACCACAAAACTTGATCTTCATTGCATGCCACATTTGCAAAAAATGTAAGCAACTGCACCGTGGGCACTGTATGGCCTTATGACTTCACGGAAACCTTTGACAACTGTGAAACTTTGAGTATCCTCTTCAGATTTGGCTGCCATCAGAAATTTCTGGCCATCCTCTGCTTATTGCACAATGACACACTAGCTGTGACCTTCACCCAATGAAACCACTACAGTATCTTTGTCCATAAGACTGAGCCAAGCAAGACTGTCATTGCACTAACTAACCCTTTTCTACATCTTCCTCACTGCCGTAGTGCATCTTGCATCCAACTTACCCGGAGATGTGGGGATAATTTACAGAACAGATAAGAAATGTTCAACCAATGCCACCTCCAGTCCAAAATCATTCTGCCTTTAGAATTTGAGCTTTAGGATCCAAATGGTACTTGTGTGTGCTTTCTCTGAAACTGAGCTCGAGGTCATTGTTGACTGCTCCTTCACGGTGTATGAGAAAATAGGCCACTCATTGTACACCTGGAAAAATAAGGTTCTCTTCAACCAGGTTTCACAGCATGGCACCTCTCCAACTGATTAAGAACAGTAGCAAGATCTGTATTTTTGAACCTCCTGTCAACAAAGGTGTATGCAGATTACAAAATTTATTATTTTCATTGTGTTAGTTTGGCCTTCAGTCAGCCGAGGAAACGAGCACTTGAGGCCAGGATCTCAAACTTAAGGCTAAGGTCATGGGAGCTTTCTGGGCATTAATGATCTCTGCACTCCACTAAATATAGTGGCAAATAAAGCAACTAGATTCTCCAAATATAGTGGCAAGTAAAACTGTTCAAAAGCAGTGACCTCTCCTAGGCCAGTGAGCCCTGAATCAATGTGCTGATCAATCAAACCATTTCAGCTGAGCAAGACGTGTTAGGCATAGGGATGACCAGGTTCCTGAAGCAACTGCTCCATTTGGACCTTGAGCACAGCAGGCGTGGACATGAAAATGCTTTTGAAATGTCTTAAAATCATCCTGAGGAGCTCAGACATCCTGACTTGTGTGAGGCCCTGGTTTGTGACCAGCCCAAATTTTAAAAAGGCACGAGACTTTGGCAGAAACAAGTAGAAGTGGGGTAGATGCCTTTGCTATGCACACTTCCAGTAATTTATCTTGTCAATGCTTTGAGCACAACTTGCCCTGAATGTGGCTGCATCTAGTCACATAGTAATGTGGTTCTCTGTTAACTGCCCTCTGAAATGGCCTAGCAAGCCAGTCAGTGGTTTAAAAAAAAATGCTGCAACACAGGTTCAAGAAAACATGTCACTGCCAGCTTCTCACGGGCAATTAGTGCTGAACAACAAATAAAGACTTTGTCAGCGATATCCACATCCCATGAAAGCATATAGGAAGAAGTCTGATTTTATTTTCGTACCTAAGTTGGACCTGCACACCAACTTTTTTGAGAAAATATTTATTCCTTGGTTGTTGGAATCTTGTGAAAACTTGACAAAAATAGCTGTTTTGTTTGTTTTGAATCTCAATGGGGAGTTGGCAAAAGAGAGAGCTTTCAAGCCAGACTGTGCTGGCAGTTTTGAAAGTGACAGCAGTTTCTGGTATCTGCACTTACTACATGTGTCAATGTTGCCATTCCCCATTTTTGTTCCATGATCTCTAACGTTGCTTACAAATCTGTGTGACAATTTACCCAAAATTCTTTTGGACGTTTGTGTACACCACATTAGCTATATTGCTCTCATCTGACCTCTTTTACTTCATTGGAAACTCCAGCATGTTAAACATGATTTGTCTTTAACAAATCCATACAGGTTAATTAAAAGCTAACATTTCCCAAAATTGCTTTGTCTCCATTATCATTTTCTTCTAATATCTTATTGAAAAATTGTCAAGTCCAGTTGTGTGATGGTAGTACTGTTTCTTTATGACTGTATAGTTATATTGTTCCTTCATATCCAAATGTAACCTTTTCTGAAGGTGGAAAAGATTTGTAGTGACAAGGTGAGATATGTTAATCTGCTTTACTTACAAATAGCAATTTAGTGTACACAATAAAGTCAAGGTAAACTCCTTTCATTCAGAGCAATGGTGATAACTTTAATACCTTCTAAATTTGGAGACTTTTCTTTGGCCATTCCTTTTTTATTTCCCTAGCCACGCATCTGGCCTGTTAGTTTTCGTTTTAAGCTCCAGCCCCTGAGACTGTAGATAGTACTCTACATTTATTTGAGATGTTGATGTCATTGACAAGGCCAAATGTAATTGCCAAATGACCAATTACCCTTGTATTAAGTAGGCTGTTAAAAGTCAACCATATTGCTGTGGATCTGGAATCGATTATAGGGTCAGAATGGCAGATTGCCTTCCATCAAGGATGTTGAGAATCAGATGAGGTTTTTATTACAATAGTTGCCAGTAGGTTTCTCAGATAAACTTCCAACTTCAAATTTATTGGTTGAATTTAAATCCTACCAGCTGCCATGGTGTGATTTAAACGTTTGCCCCAAATCGTTAAGCTAGGTAGGCCTCTGGACTATGAGTCAATGACATTACAATGGCATCACCAAGATCCCTATTTCTGAATCTGAGAAGCAAAAAAGTGAGCTCGTGTTGAGATGGGAGTGATGCTCTTAACATCAAACGATGATTGCGGTTGTTGGAGGCCTGTCTTCTCAGGCCAAGGAGGTCTCTGCAAGAGTTTCTCAGACGAGTGTTCTTGTCCCAACCATCTTCATCAACGATCTTCTTTCCATCATAAGATCACAAATGGATAGGCTCGCGGCACGGTGGCTCAGTGGTTAGCACTGCTGTCCACAGCGCCAGGAACCTGGGTTCGATTCCACCCTTGGGCGATTGTCTGTGTGGAGTTTGCACTTTCTCCCCGTGTCTGTGTGGGTTTCCTCCAGGTGCTCAGGTTTCCTCTCTCAGTCCAAAGATGTGCATGGTAGGTGGATTGGCCATGCTAAATTGCCCATAGTGTCCAGGGATGTTCAGGTTAGGTGGGTTAGACATGGGAAATGCAGATGTAGGGGAATGGGTCTGGATGGGATGCTCTTTGGAGGGACGTTGTCTTCTTGTGGAAACAGGCCATTTGGTCTAACACTAACGATTCTGTGAAATGACTGATCACTATTCTCAACACCTCAAATATTGAAGTTATACATATTAAGATGAGAAGAGGCTTGGGCTGACCCGTGACAAATAACATTTGTGCCACACAAATGCCAGGCAATGACTAGCCCCAACAAGAGAGAATCTAACCACTAACCTTTGACATTCAATGGCATTACTGTCACTGAAATTCTGACTTTCAACATCTTGGGGGTTACCAATAACCAGAAATGTGAACTGGACTAGCCACGTAATTGATCTGGCTGCAAGAGTAGGTCAGAGACTAAAAATCCTGTAGTGAGTAATTTGCTACAAAAACAAAGTGCCAGAGAAACTCAGCAGGTCTGACAGCATCTGTGGTTTGAAAAACAATTAACACTTTGAGTCCAGTGACCCTTGTCAGAGTTCTCTGCTGCTGATACCTGTCTGATTTTCAGTGGCATTACCACCAAGTTCATAAGACTATATGGACCCTTGAGTCTGCCCCACCATTCAATAGGATTGTGGCTGATCCAACGTTCTTCATGTCCACTTTCCTGGGTTTTCCCCATGATTCCCTACTAATCAATAATTTATCACAGCCTTAAATAGACACAAGGACTCTGTCCCCATATTCTGAGACTGCGCTGTCTGGTCTCAGATTCTCCCATGAAGGGAAACATCTCAGTGTGTACCCTGACAACCCCTTAAGAATCGTTTAAGTTTCAAGGAGAGAATTTTTATTCTCTGATTTGCCTCTGAAATAATAGCTTTCTTTAAGGGGACTAAAACTTCTCATAGTGTTTCAGTTGGGGTCTCTCAGCATCTTACGCAGTTGCAGTAAGAGTTCCTTGTTCTTACATTCCAACCCCTTTGAAATAAGGGCCAATGTTCCATTAGCCTTCCTGATTATCTGCTGCACCTATATGCTAGCTTAGTGTTTCATGTACAGGTACCCTGAAGTCCCTTTGCAGAAAATTGCAGCACATGTTTTCTTCATTTAAATAATACTGTTCATTTGTTCTTTCTTCCAAAATGAGCAACTTTGAATTTTCCCACATTATACTCCATTTGCCAATTTTTTTGTCCACTTAACCGTATCAGTGTTTCTCTGTAAGCTGTTTGTATCCCCCTCCTAATTTGCCTTTCCACTTATTTTTGTGACAGCTGCAAATTTGACTACAGTACATTTACTTCTGTTGAGTTATGAATATACACTGTAAATGGTTATGGTCCCAGCACTGATCCCTATGGAACCCTACTGGTCATGATTGGCCAGCCTGTAAAAGAAGCTTGCTGTTTCCTCCCATTAGCCAGTCTGCCCCCATGGCTGTGGCCTCTTACCTTAAAACGTGACCTTTTGTTAGGTATCTCGTCAAACATCTTCTGGACGTCCAAATGTAACATGTTTACTGATTCCACTCTATTCACTGTGGTTGAGACTTCCTTAAAAGCTATTAAATTAGCCTGACATGATTTCCCTTTTATGAATCTACATTGACTCTGCTTGATCAGATTATCATTTTCCAGATGTGCTGCTATTATTCCTTAACTGTCTCCAACACAATACTTTTCCAACAATTGATGTTGGGCTAATTGGCCTATTGTTACCTGCTTTATGCCTGCCTGCTGCTTTGAATAGTAATGTCACATTAGCACTTTTCAATTCTCTGGTACTTTTCGGAATCCAAGGATTTTTAGAAAATTAGAAGTAGTGCATCCACTATCTCTGTAGCTGCCACTTTTAGGATCCGAGGATGCAAACAGGGCTGGGGACTTAACTGCCTTTAGACTTGTTAATTTGTCTATTACTACTTCTGTAGTGATTGTACTTAATTTCTTCTCCCATTTTCTTTTGTAGTATTAGGATGTTTGAAGTATCTTCCGTCGTAAAGACTGATGCAAAATATCTGTTTAACTCCTCTGCCATTTCCTTGTTCCCCAAAATTTGTTTTCTAAGGGACCTATGTTCACTTTGACCCTGCTCTTCCCTTTTGTATCTTTAAGGAAGCACTTATTAGTCTTTATATTCTTTGCTAGTCCATCCTCATAGTTTGTTTTTGCTGTCTTTATTATCTTTTTAGTCCTCCTTTGCTGGATTCTGCATTTATCCCACTATTCAGGGCTAACGCTGACTTTGGCCTCCTTATCTGCTTTTTCTTTAAACTTAATACTCTCTTTAATATCGTTGGTTAGTTATGATTGATTTATCCCTCTTTGAATTTTGTCTCCTTACAGGGATATATTTTTGCTGAGAGTCATAAATTACCTCCTTAAATGCTTGCCACTGTTTACTTACTGTCGTTCCTCCTATTTGCCCCGTACAATTTAGATAACTGTTCTCATTTCATTATAATTCCCTTGTTTCCTACCCACGTTTCTCACACTGAGTATTAAATTCATCATGTTATGATTGCTACTTCCTAGGGGATCTTTTACTTGAAGCTCATTTATTAAACCTGCCTCATTACCAGATCCAAGATAGCTTGCTCTGTTGTTGGCTCCATGACTTATTGCTGTAGAAAACTATTATCCCTCATGCACTCTACTTTGAATTCATTATCATAGCTACCCTTCCCAATTTGATTCAATCAACATGAAGATTAAAGTCGCCTGTAATTATTGCTCTATTCTTTTTAGTCTTCTTTTTTGGATTTATAATCTTTCCTATAGAGCGGCCACTGTTTGGGGGCCTGTACAATATTCCTACCAATCTCCTCTTTCCCTTGCTGTGTTTTTACTTCCGCCCAGATGGTCTCTTACGACTGTCCTCATTTAATCTCTTATTAATAGTTCTACCTGACAGCTTTTTCCATCCTGTTGTCTGTTGAAAGGCCAAATAACGCTGAATATGAAGTTCCCAGTTTTGCTCTTGTAACCATGTTTCAATAATGGCCGTTAATCTATTCACTTACCTTGATTAGTGCTGGTAACACATTTGCCTTATTCCAAATGCTTTCTGCATTAAGATATAAAGCCTTTAAGTTTGTTCTATTGTCGAATTTCCGTTCACTTCATGTTTTCTTGCTCTAATATGACATTCATACATTTTGTTCCTTACGTTTGCTTTCAAGTACCAATCAGTCCCATTACTAACTGCAATCCTACCTTCTCCTTTATCATAGAATATTATCATAGAATCCCTACAGTGTGGAAACACCTTTGATTTTATAATTTTCCATGCCACTGAACCCACTCCCCCACTGTTTAGTTTAAACACCTGTCTGTCGCCAGGACTCTGGTCCCAGCATGATTCAGGTGGAGTCTATCCCATTGGAACAGCTTGCTCCTTCCCCAGTACTGGTGGCACTGTCCCATGAATTTGAACCCATCTCTTTCCTACCAATCTTTTGAGCCGCACATTTGCCCCTCTCTTTAATCTTGTTGATCCTGTGCCAGTTAGCTCGTAGCTCAGTCTCACACTGTCAACATTCTGGAGTTAACATTGGCTAGAAACTGGATAGTACCAATGAAACAAGTTGAGACTACGTAAGAACACATCACAGGATGGAATTCTCTGATCAATAACTCACCACCTGAATCTCCAAAGCTTGTACACCGCACACATGAATCAAAAATGTAATCAAATGCTCTCCACTTACCCTGATGTGTGGCTCCTACAGCACACCCAGAGATTGCTTGATTAGCACCCCAGCATTTTATCTGTTTCTCCACTTCTCACGCCCACATGCTGTCACTCTAACCTCATACTCTTGCCATTGATCCAGCTTTCTAGTCCACAGCCAATGTTTCAGTTATGGCTGGACTGTTTGCAATTTTTGCATTGATTTTTGAACTAAGGATCCACGCTCGAATTCTTGTATGAAGAAAATATATACTTTCACATCTAAACTCTTTAAGGCATCAAAACCCTCACACTACATGCTTGTCTGTTTCAATAAATGCAAAATAGTGCAGAAGTTGGGGATCTGAAATATATACAGTGCTGGAGAAACGCAGCAGGATTTGTAGCATCTTTGGGGTGAGAAACATAGCTAACGTTTTGAGTTCCATATGACTCTTCTGAAGTCTATTTGAAAAGTTTTTGATGTCAGCTTGAATCCTCCCGTATTTCGCGATGTAAACGCCAGTTTTTTTTTCCTACATGCTTTTGACAAATCTGTTAGAAACCACATTTTGCTTGTCTTTTCACCCTGACCTTGCTGATCCACATTGATCTCGATCTCCAAACGCAGATTTTTATACATTATAGTGTAACAACCTGCTATTTGAAGAAAAGTATCACTATTTTCACTGAAGTCCAACATTAATTCTTGAACCAGCATCACTAAAATAGATTGTGAGCATTCTTTAATTGCTCTTTGTGGGAATTAGCCATGTGAAAATTAGCTGCTATTTCCTACACTGTAACGTGATTATATTTCAAAATTACTTCATTGACTGTAAAGTACATTTAAATGTTAATAAATTGTGGAAGATGTTATAACTGCAAGTCTCCTTCCTGTCATTCGTCAACTTTCTGCAATCATGAGATCCAAGTTTAAGTGCAGGTCCATCTAAAGATCAGTAGTTAGATGCAGTTTTATACTTCGTAATTTGTAAGTGAAGTCTCTGTCCCCAGTCATTTAAGTTGTGGCACTCACTGTAATAACTGCAGTAAATACTTTTCATGGCCAGAGCTATGAATTATTAAATACGATTTAGTTTATGCTTTTGCATGTAGGTTGTAATGATTATAAACATTTCTTGATTTGTTTATATTTGTAAAATAATTCCTGTAGCACACATCATATGTTAACATTTAAAATGATTTGCTCTTCTAGGTGTTTCCACTACCTCTCTTATACCTGGGGAACCAACTTACAGGATTGCTGGGCACTAAGAAACTGAAGTACGTTTGAACCCATTTTGAGCGAGGGAGACAGTGGGGAAAATATTTTTGTTCGATTAATGATTTTTTTTTCTCTAACTCAGTTTAACTTTATTTTCCAGCCTTCCAATGTTTACAGTTTTAAGGAGGTTTTCCATTCTGTTTACAATGATAGCAGAAAGTTTGTTACTCAAGTAAGTAACAACGTCATCTTAATTGTTTGCTTTAAATATCTTTCTTTGTCTCAAAACACACTTTCTATATTTAGATATATCTTCACTCAATGGGCAAAGATCTGATTTTGAGTGACGTCCATGAAGTAAATTTATATATGGACAAATATAATTTTGTAGAAATTTTGTAATCACTAAGCAGTTGATAGCTGAAGTCATGTTTCCCTAAAGTCAAGTTCAGCTAGGACTGTGGCCTCTCTCCATCAAAGATGGACATGTTCTACAAATCAATTTAGATAGTTAATGACAGCAAGTAGCTGGTTTAGCTCCATTGCAAAGAAAAAGATGAATAAAGGATAGTATCTCCCATATCACCCCGACTGGCTTCCAGTGCAAACTCGTTGATTTTTCAAAAAAAGTTGTACAGTTGCGAAAAAAGTGTAGAATTTGTGATATGTCAATAATCTTTAGCTGTTAACTTCCTGGATCAAAAATAGCTGCTTCCTTGACAGAATATTGTCTATGTCTGTTGGCAGAGGATAACATAGGATCAATAGTGGTACAATATTCTACAATGTCTGTACAAGAATTATACCGTTCATTTTAAGAATGTACTTTCAACACGTACAAATTGAAATGTTGAAAATATAAGATGACAAACCTTATATCAACTGTCATGTGAAAATTTGATGGGCTGTGTTGTCGTTTTACAGTGCTTACTTGGTCTTGACCTTGATAAAATGTATATTGTGTATGCAGGAAGACAATTCTGGTAAACATAATATGTAATTTATAGCCAGAAGTTTGGTGCAAAGTGAATAAAATTACTTTAATCGTCATTGTACATTCATTTCAAGACAGTGTCAAAGATGTCATGCTTAGTTTGATAATTTGTTCAGTGATCTTATTAATCTAGTTGTTGAGGTCATATTATTTCTTTTCAGTAAATTTGTTTTCTACTAACCAGTAACATACTGAGCTTGCTAAGTTTGACCAATGGCTTGTTTTTGTTTTTCTTTTACATTGATTAGTTTGGAAGTTGCGATAGTGCATTCTGATCACTGCATATCTTCTGTTTCTACTTAATTGATCTCTTTGAAAATTGCTGAGGTTCAACTTTGTTTGGAGGCACAAACAATGCACTGTTGCACATATTCAGAATGGATCTTGCACCGTGTCCTTAGATTAGTGACAACAAATTCTTCCTTGACCTGTATAGGTATCTGTGCCAGATCCTTTGAAACTGTTCTCACCCCTGCCTTCTCAAGGACAACTACAGATGGCCAGTAAATGCTGGCCTAACTGGCAAAGCCCATGTCCCATGAATGAATAAAAAAACGTTATTTTATTGCCTATAAAAGATGGTTCCGAGATCACAGTATCTAATAACAATAATAGTACTTAATTTCTGTCTGTTTGAGTGTGGTGACTGGTTTAAGGGATGTTCTGGTGAATTTGCTTGGTAGATGGTGCCTGGCATGTGTGAAAGGAAGTGGTGCACCTTGAGAGTGGGACCACGTGACTCTTTGGCTACCAGTGGTTGATGGGGAAGTAGGGGACATTGGAGAACAAAAGGAATGGAAGAATAGGAGAGTGCAGCAAACGTACTGTGGTTGGAGAGAGTATTCTCCTAAGGGACAGGGATATCGTGAAAAGGAGGGAAGGTTGGGTTTCATTACAGTGTGGGGAAGTGTAGTAAAATATTAAGCAAGTTTTTTTGTACAACTTATGAGCACAAAGGATAATTTAGAGTAATGAGGAGCCACTAGGTTTGGATGGAATGCGTTTAGAAAGCTGTTGAGTGATTTGAAAGAATACATGCGTTAGTTCTGTAGAGAAATAAGTTAATGAAAGTCTGTATCCTTTAGAATTTCTACTCTTGACTCCAGTGGGCATGTTACTGCTTATTCAGATCCAGGGAGGAGCAGTTCTATTGTTCCTATGAAACTTAAACAAGTTGTCATGGGTTGAGACTGGTTCTTTGGTACCATAGGCACTGAAGGTAGCTTTCAAGGAAATAGTGTTCATTTAATTTTGAGCCCAGCAGATGTAAACCTACTTGACTTGAGAGGAATTAGTCCCCAATAGCACTTTAATATTCTATGACCATAACCTAGTAACAAGGATACTAACTTGACCACAAATGATTTGTCTCTCTTTGCTGGTCTAAATTATTAACAGAGCATTTAGTGATCTTAGGCTCTTTACCAAAAGCATAGTGGCAGGGCTAGCCAGGATGATTCTCTGACGTGAGGATTATGTAATCTCAAATAAGAGTGGAGAAAACTCTAGATGGGTGAAAAACTTTCTGTAAACGCTGCATCTTGCCTCATATCATTCTTAAAATTTTCTACCAGTATAGGTTTCTTGTTTTTTTTACTTAATGGACTTTTTAATGAATAAGTATTGTAATGCAGTATCGTGACAGGTGAGCATAGTTTGGATAATCTCAATCAGGAGAATGGTGATGGCCATTTCGGAAGTTCTTTGTAGTTTTAAAGTAGAATGTTATCAATACTTATGCAAAAAAAAATTAATACAGTAAACGTGCAAACGAGAATCCTTCTTTATTGTTAGGTATCACACTACTAGCAGTTGTATACAGACTGGATGGAAACACAAATATTATCAAGGTTGTTTTTCCACAAATTTTAGCTGCTGTTTCAAAATGCAGTTAAGATCCTTTTCCTTGAGCACGTCTTGTTCCCCTATTTCTAGCTTCTTCTGTTTCTATCTTCTGATTTATCTGCACTCGATCTGTCATCTTGCAGTATATTTGGTGTTGTATCATGGCTGCTATTTAAATCTTAGAATATTGCTTAATACTTTAAACTACTTTAAGATTGGAGATGTGTGTTTTTTTTCTTACTATTTTGTAGATGTGAATCATGATTTGAAATGTTTATGCTATTGAAAATCCATGTGATAACAACCTGTTTTTAAAAGGTGTTCCTCATTTGCTTCTTGTTGCGTCTGTTTGAATTGCTTATGATGCTTCTTTCTTTGAAGGTTTTATAAATGCAATCATGGATTTTCAAACATGAAGCTAATCTGTTTTTTCCTTCCTGATCGCAGTAAGAACTTCTCTCGATCTGTTCAGGTGACTGTCTTTGCGATGATACTTGGTGCGTTTATTGCTGCCAGGTAAGATTGAGTAATAGACTAACTGACTGTTACAGCATGCAGCCTATTTTAACCTGGCAGGTTTGTGTCTGGGCTTTTCTGTGCACTGTCGATTGAGTGTAATCCCAATTTCCCATCCCATTATCCTCACTTTTATACTTGCGTTGTTTGAAAAAAAAATTGTCACATTCTCTTTAAGAAAAGATCATGGAACGTATGGAATTTACTTAATGTATTAAAATAAAATTAACATCATAACCACCTACTTAAAGTAATTGCTAAAGTTCTTTGATTCTTTTATGGTCTTTAATTTTTCCCTTTCAATGGCCATCATTTTATTAAGAATCAGGCTATACAATTTTTCTTCCATCTCTCTACAGAGGTTTGCAGAGGAGCAGGCAACAGCCCTGCTCTGAAGTTGCTTCTCTTCCTTTTGAGAATATTGGGACAGGAGATGTCTCTGTTCCTTCTGGATACTTTTTTTTTGGAAATAGCCATTAGGCTTCAGTCATGGTAGCCATTGCTGTTGATCCAGGACTCTAGCTGTAGTCAACTTCCCTCCAGTAGTTTCGGCAATAAGCCCTCCTTGAGAGGAGATATGTGGCCTGCATATCTACAAGGCAAGTAAGTGACCAGACTTTTAGCAAAAATGTCCCAATCATTTCCCCTGTAAGGACATTGATCTCATGGATTGCAACTACATCTTTATTGTTGGGAAGCACACAATTTCCAGTTTTTAAAAAAAAAAAAAAAAAAAATTCTGTTAAGAGGAATGTGAGCACTAGAAAAGTTGAAGGTTGCTGAATGATTTGGGCTAACTGGTTATTACCTAAAGTATGTGGAACAGGAAAGCTTCATTTCAGTCCTATACAAAAGTTTTGAGGTCCTTGAAATACTAAAACTGAGTGTGCTAATGTACAACTTTGAGATCTCTCCTGAGAAATTAATATTTTAAGAACAAAAATAGTGATTTGTGTATTTCTGTTCTATTGTACAAATGCAAAAAAAATACACCGCTTTCTTTCAGTTCTGACATGGCGTTTGACTCGTTTGGATATGGATATATTCTTACAAATAATGTGTTAACAGCTGCGAATGGAGCTTATGTAAAGCAAAAATTGGAGTCAAAAGTGAGTAATTTTTTAATTGTTTCAAAATCTGATGATTTATTTTGAAATATTTGAGGACTTTGAGCAGTTTTTAAAATGTCAGCCTTTCCATCCCTGTGAAACTATTCCACTTACAATTCTGTGGTTTTAGGGTTTACCATGAAAGTACTTGCACAAAGTTAGTTATAATCAGATATGTTTTCTTTTTTGGCTTTCGCTGTCCCAAGGAAAACAAAAGGATTTAAGGAACATGACATGAATAAGTTCTGCTTTTGAATATCAACACTGTAATGAAATTTGTCTTCCCCAATTTTTCTCTCTTTGCCTTTTTTGACAATTATTGAAGTGGCAGCACAAAAATTAAATTCTGCACACAGTACCTTACCCACGTGGCTAGTCAGAAATTCAGATGAGTGACGAAATTGGATTTGTTCTCCATGTTTATGGAAACTTTTTCCAAAAGGAATTACTGAATAATGTTAAAGATTAGGAAGGTAAGTTTGTTCCCCTTTCCCACAGCTGCCTCCCTGGCAGTAGTAAAGCTTAGTATTGGGTTATGTTTGTTGCTGTGCATCTCAGAATTTTGTGTGGGTGTGTGATGTATGTATAAATCCTGTCCCTTCAGTGTGTGCTGTTTTCTGTTGATCTCAGCAATTGATAGTTCAAATTTGTTTCTGATTTGTCTTCACATCACTGTTACTGATGTTGTAGCAGTAATATATTTTATCCCAATTATACAACTCAGTTGCTAATTTCTCAGGAACTAATGAGCATAACCCTGAAGATAAAGCACTATCACTTGCTGCTGCCCTGCCGAACACTGACACAGAAATTGGCATCTTGCTTCATTTAACGAGTTGAAAGAAATAACACTGTAGGATTCTTCAATACATTTGACCAGTTTGTTGTAGAAGGAAGGCCCAGGAAGTAGCTAAATGGGGGTTGGCTAATGTACTAGGTTTGTGGAAGGGGAACGATGTAGACATTACAGGCTACAGTTTCGTTTTTTCGAATTATCCTGTGTAGGGATTTCAGCATATGGTGAAGCTCATTCATAACTTTTTTTGGCTTCATCTCAAATACTTGAAAGGGGCTAGAGTCTCACAGCAGGGTATTGAGTATTTTGTAGATACTTATGTAAGCTGCTTTTGTGCAGAGAACATTGTAGTTCTGGTAAACCTTTAGTGTTATTCTTATGAAAACTTGACATACCTTTTAGGAGAGACAGAACAGGCTCTCTACAGTTGAAAAATGAAGGCCGACGAGTGACTGAATAAAGTCTTTCACATTGTGAAAAATTTGTTAGGATTGATAAATATTTTCTTTGTAGTGAAGAATAAAACTCAAACCTATCAATATCATATGATCTTAAATTCAGAAGAACATTTTTCATGCAGTGAATGATGAGAATATGGAGCTCACTATTCCAGGGAATGCATTTATCAATGCGTATTGAGGAAGGCTAGATAAGCCTAAGGTACACTGAAAACAGTTACGCTGTCAAAGGCAGATGAGGAAAGATGGGAAGAGGCTTTCTGGAGTTTAAATCCTGGCGTAAACTGGTAGGCCAGAAACAGCATGTTTCTAAGCTATGCAGAAATTAGTAGCATTGTGGTAATTGGCCTGGTAATACACATGCCAGAACAGATGCTTTGAATATGTAAATCCAGCCATGTCAGCTGGGAAGAATTTAAATTCAATTAATAAACTTGGACTGAAATGTATTCTACATTGCTAATCATGAAACAACTAGATTGTTGTAAAGTTGTTAGTTTACTGCTGCCCTTCATGGATGAATCTGTTGCTCTTACGAGCACAGGTCTGAGTCTGAGTCTAGACTCTTAGGTGGTTGACTCTTAACAGTCATTGTCATAGAGTAATACAGCGTGGAAGCAGGCCCTTCGGCCCAAACTGGTCCATGCTGCCTGCTCAGCTAGTTCCAATTGCTCACATTTAGTCCATATCCTTCTAAACCCTTCCCATCCATGTACCAATCCAAATGTTTTTTAAATGTTGCTATTGTACTTGCTTCAATCACGTTCTCTGGCAGTCCGTTCCATATACGCGCCACTCTGCGTGAAGAAGTTGCCCCTCAGGTCCTCTTTAAATCTTAACCCTCTGTCCTTAAATCTATGCTCTTTAGTTTTCAATTCCCCATCCCTGGGAAAAAGACTATGTATTCATTCTATCTATGCCCCTCATGATTTTATACATCTCAATAAGGTCACCCCTCGTTCTCCTACGTTCCGAGGAATAAAGTCCTATCCTGGCCAACGTCTCCCTATATCTCGGGCCTTCTAGTCCTGGCAACATCCGCTTAATTTTCTTCGCACAGTTTCTAGTTTAACTCTGTCTTTCGTGTAATAGGGTGACTAAAACTGTGCACAATACTGCAAGTGCGACTTCACCAACGACTTCTACAACTTTAACGTGACGACCCAACTCCTATACTCAGTGTCTTGATTGATGAGGACCAACATGCTAAATGCCTTCTTCCCCCCCCTGTCTATCTGTGACACCACTTTCAGTGAACTATGTACTTGTACATCTGGGTCCTTCTGTTCCACAACGCTTGTCAGGACTTTACCACTTACTGTACAAGTCCAACCTTGGTTTGACTTTTCAAAGTGCAAGATCTCACACTTATCTATATTGAATTGCATTTGCCAATCCTCAGCTGACTTCCCCATCTGATCAAGATCCCGCTATAAATTTTGATAACCTTCCTCGCTATCAACAATACCTCCTAATTTTGTAGCATCGCAAACTTACTAATCGTGCCTTGTACATTCACATCCCGATCATTTATGTAAATAACAAATAACAAAGGTCCCAGCACCTAACCCGTGGCACACCACTAGTCACACAGGCCTCCAGTCTGAGAAACAACCTTCAAGCATCACCCTTTGTTCCCTACCATCATGCCAATTTTGAATCCAATTAGCTCTCCCTGGATCCCATGTGACCTAACTTTCATGACTAGTCTGCCAAATGGGACCTTGTCCAGGGCCTTAGTAAAGTTCACATAGACAATATCCACTGCCCTCCCCTCCTACATCCTCTTGATTACCTCTTTGAAAAACTCTTAACAGATTTGTTAGAATGACTTCTTGCGCACAATGACTCTCCCTAATCAGTCGTTGACTATCTAAATGTTGGTTGATCCTGTCCCTCAGTATCCACTCGAATAATTTTCCTACCTCCTGATAACAGGCTCACTGGCCTGTAGTTCCTTGGCTTTGCTACCTTTCTTCAACAATGGAACAACAATAGCCACCCTTCAGTCTTCTGGAACTTCACCAGTGGCTAAAGTTGAAGCAAAAATCTCTGCAAGGACCTCTGTGATTTCTTCCCTAACCTCCCACCATGTCTTGAGGATGGACTCGATCAGGCCCAGGGGATTTATCCACCATAATGTGCTTTAAGGCTGCAAACACCCCTCCAGTGATGTGTATGTGGTCAAAATCATCCCCACTTGTTTCCCTTATTTCCTTAGCATCCATGAAGGCCTCTGAAATGGCCTAGCAAGTCAGTGTGTTGTATATAACTACTACAGAGAATCATAGAATCCCTACAGTGTGGAAACAGGCCCTTCGGCCCAATAAGTCCACACTGTCCCTCAGAGCGTCCCACCTAATCTACACATCCCTGAACACTGGGCAATTTAGCATGGCCAATCCACCTAGCCTGCACATCTTTGGACTGTGGGAGGAAACCGGAGCACCCGGAGGAAAGCCATGCTGACACGGGGAGAATGTGCAAACTCCACACAGACAGTCGCCCGAGGGTGGATTCGAACCTGGGTCCCTGGCACCGTGAGGCAGCAGTGCTAACCACTGAGCCACCGTGCTGCCCGAAATCAGGAGGTTTCCTTGACCATTTCAGGAGAAAGAAGTTGAATGAAAATTAACTGGATGGACCACCCAGCATTGATTTAGGCATCAGAAGCAACACCCTGCTCAGGAAACACTGCAAAGTCCTCCTCACTAGCATCTGGGACTCCTCACTTATACCTGAGACTTGTGGCACATTTGGAAGAGCTGTCCTATTAATTAGTCAAGCACAACCTGACAGTGGTACTCACCAAACTGTCCCTTGCATGCAACAGCTCCAGACTCCACCTCCTGTATACTTAGTTATGCCCTGTCTTACTGGTAGAGCAAATCCACCAGAGATGACAGCATAGTCATTCATAGCAATGCATATCCTCAGATTTGTTTTCAACAATCCAGACTCTAAGTAACTTTATGGTACCAGGTCAAAATGGTCAAGGAGACCTCTTGATTATTATCCATTACCGATAATTCACTGCTCCTGCATGTCAGACTGGAAAAGCTTTAGCAAAGGCACATAATGTATTTTGGAAGAGGAATTTAAGTGTCTATGACCATGAGTGGCCCAGTAGCGCCACAACAGACCAAGCTAGCCAAATCACAAGCAGTATATTAACTAGATTGTACCTGTGAGAGGTGTTGAGGGAACTGACATTTGCAAGAAGTACCTTCTAATTTCTAAAATCCAGCATTTTAATTTCCACTCTCTTTTAGTTTTTCCCCCTAAACTAAAATTTGCTGAAATGCATTAATATAAACCAGGAACTAAATGATTGACCCAGTTTGAGTTTTCGATTCTTTATAAGCTTCAGGATGTTGATATTTGTGTCAATCATAAATATAGTTTAGCTACAAGAGCCTGTTAGGAGCTGGGATTCTGCAGTAACTATCCACCTGATTCCTAAGGCCTATCTTTACGTCTACAGGGCACTAGTTAAGAGTGACGAATGCTGTACTTGTCTGGATGAATGCACTCGTATTCAATACTATACAGGGTAAAACAACCTGCTTCACTAGAATCCTTCTCTTGTCCACAATGTGCATGTGGTGACGTGCTAACATTCCTTTGAAAGCATCTTACAATCCTGTGGCCTGTACTAGCTAGAAGGATAAAGACAGCAGATGTATGGAGTCGTTGTCTCCTTCAAGTTATGTCCCATCGTTTTGTCTTGGAACTATATCACATGT